TATTTTAAGTAAGGGTGGCCCCAACTTATTTTCATTTTCAGAAGCATATTAAATTACTGTATGTTTGAAGCAGTTAACCCTTCTCCATGCAAGGATTCAAATCCAAAGTTTTCATAAAAGCATACATGCATGTTTCATTAAAGAGAAATATTCACTCAATAAGTTACAAATGTGTCATGATATATACATTACAAATATAGAATAATTTTAACATGGAGAGAAATAAAGATGGAAATTGACATTTCCCAAGGATGGTGTAGGCAGAACCATATACATCAGGGCTGTCAAACTCCTGGACCATGGGCTGGATGTGTCACGTGCTGGCCACACCCATGCCCGGTTTAGCGACGGGGCAACTTTGAACATATTCTGTTTAAAAAAAATATGCCCGATAAAAAATAATTTCTATTAATCAGGAAAAGGTAAAGGTTCCCCTCGCACACAGGGGGTGGTGCTCATCTCAGTTTCAAAGCTGAAGATGTCTCCGTGGTCATGTGGTTGGCATAACTAAATGCTGAAGGTGCACGGAACGCTGTTACTTTCCCACCAAAGGTGGATCCTATTTTTCTACTTGCATTTTTACATGCTTTCAAACTGCTAGGTTGGCAGAAGCTGGGTCAAATAACGGGATCTCACTCTGTTACGCGGCGCTAGGGATTCAAACCATCGAACTGTCGAACTTTTTGATCGACAAGTCTTAGCCACTGAGCCACCACGTCCCTATCAGAATGGGAATATAGAAAAGAAACTTTCCTATCTTGTTGCTTGTGTAGCACTTGAAAAGGAACAGAGGAAGAAGTAGGAACATCTCTTAAATGTATACATAGGGACCAGGCATCATGTGAAAAAAAAAACCTCTTATTTTGAAGAGTACTTGTCTGATACTCAATGCAGATATAACACCCAAGTGGGTGTTGCATACAAGCAAAGAGGAATAATACATGGTGTCAGAAGCTTGTTCAAGATTGCATGCTCACATGTACAACAATCGATTGAACCAAAATAATGAGTACATATAACGCTGACTACATCAGCAAGAGTTTTCCTAGGTTGGAATACCTGGAAATAAAATGTGGATCCTTATTTTTATATATTTAATTTTTGATATTCTTTCATAGCAAATGGTTTACAAGAATATTCAATAATGAAATCAAAGGTGTAGAAAATAACAGAACTTCCGTGTACAGGATAAAAGTTAATAGCATGGGAAAACATCAAAGGGAAAACATGACATGAATCTTAATTTGATCAAAAGCAAGAAAAAAATAAACAGAAAAAAGTCTACCAAAGAAAGCTCCCTGGGCAGGATGACAGTACTATGAAGTCTCTAAAGGTAATTTCCATATATCTTTCTGTAGATAGTAAAAGTGTTTCACAAAAACACTGTTCAGTACAAATGGAGAAAATGACCACGACTCCTTAACTGGGCCTAGAAACTGATAATCAGCGTAAGCAGGAAGCATTAGATACCCTGAAATACAAATTCTTCCAAGATAAGTATAATACATATCTTATCACAGAACTACAGTGTTTGAAAGAGCTTTTAGGACATTCCCTACTGTCAAATCCCTTTGCAGTATGTGCAAGAAACAAGAAATAAAGAACCTATCGTAAAAAATTGACCTGACAAGATTTGATCTCTTGTCAAGATACCCTCAGTCAACAAGTGTCCATTTTATGTATGTTGAGTGTATATGCGCGTACCCGCATACTTTGCTTTATCTCCTGTTTTTCTGTATGTACAGTTCTCAAGGTAGCTAACAACATTTAAAATAACATGGACATACAAGATAAAACAACTCCACATATACCATGGAGTTATATAACCTCCTTCATATTCAAAGGGGCATCTAAAAAGATCTTATGTGAAGTTAAGCAAAGAATGGCTATTCCAGTGACAAATTAGGTTCTCAATTTTGTACGTTTAGTTTCTGGACAGTTGAAAAGCATGTTTATTTTACAAGTCCACTGCTTTATATTCTGAACATGAATGGAAAATTCCACAAAGAATATATTTCAACATAAAATCAGCATATTAAAGCCCAGATATGATTTTAGAACTGAATTATCTGGTATTTTATTCAATTGCCATTGCTATACAAGTAGCGAACAATTCAAATGCATTTTATGTCAAGTGCATTTTACAAAAAAAAATAATTATACAAAAAGTCGGATTTTCAACAGAATTGCAACACCTATGTTTTTCTTTTTTCATACCAATATGCTACCAGGAGTAAATATAAAAGGAAACAGTACGTGTTTCTTTAGAAATAAGTACAATATTAATCAAGCATGTCCCCAAACTAACAGTGAAACATTGCTGGCTGCTTTAGTGAAGGCAGAGATTTATTAGCAGGTGCCTACCGCAAAGCAACGTACAGGTTGCAGTCCTCCATTAATAATAGTTCATTTAGTGACTGTTTGAAGTTACAACAGCATTGGGAAAAAGATTTGTGACCACTTTTCACACTTATGGTCATTGCAACATGCCCATAGTCACATAATCAAAATTCAGATGCATCGCAGATAAATCACATTTATGAGAGTTGCACTGTTCTAGGGTGATGTAATCACCTTTTGTGACCTTCTGAAAAGCAACATTAATGGGGAAGCCAGATTCACTGACCAACTATGTTACTAATTTAATAATTCCAGTGATTCACTTAATGACTGTGGCAAGAAAGGTCATAAAATGGGGCAAAATTCACTAAATAACTGTCTTGCTTAGCAACAGAAATATTGGCTCAATTGTGGCCATAAGTCAAAGACTACTTATATTTTGCTTTTATACAAAACTTCTTTGGACATATTTCCAACCACTTTAGAACCACTGAGTAGATAGAAGAGTTATTAATACCATAAAACTGGTCTGAAGATTTTTTTTTAAAAAAAGAAAGTCCATCATACCTTATCTTTTTTCCCCCAGTGACTTTCAAGTATAACATTAATGTTAGATTTAAAAAAACCAGATAAAAACATTTCAAGTAATCATAAATTATAGCACTTAGGTTAAGATGGAAATGTCTGAACTACATGTGCCTCTTTTACATCTGTGTTATTGATAGGGAAGATCTAAAGAAGAACTGTTTTAATACTTGATTGAATGGGATTACTGCATTTTGTTTGATCAGCTTTTATCTCTGGGACTATACAAAATGTTCAAGTTCATAAAAGGTTGCAGTATTCATATGAATATCATTATATTCCTCTTCAATCTTTCCACATCAAGATGGGAGAATCAAATGTATATGGAGTATAACTAGATACTTCCCATTTCTCCTTCATGCTTTTAAGAGTTTATGAATTAAGGAAAGGGCTTAAAATGACCAAAGGTGTTCCAGAAAAAGAAAAGAGAAGAAATAAATAAAGAAATGTACCAAGCTCTACCAACTTCTGATAAACATTTAGGATTTTTTAAAAACCCATTTATCTATCTGAAATCTGCTTAATACTGATGGCGTTAATTCTTATTTGATATTCTTGGCACAAATCAGACTCCCCCCCCCTAACATACCAAACAATTTTAATACCGTGTTTCCCCGAAAACAAGACAGGGTCTTATTTTCTTTTAACCCCCAAAATAAGCACTTGGCCTTATATTTGGGGAGGTCTTATTATTTTTGAGGTGCAGGAGGCGCTGAGCGTATTTAGGTATTTAGGTATTTATTGGGATTTATATGCCGCCCTTTTCC